CCCTCTGCTCATGCTTTACCTCCTCTCTATTTGTCCTTTCCGTCGTTTCTTCGGAATATTTGCACCGGGCTTCGGGTAGATCAATGTTCTGAAGGCCTGGCAGCTGACGGACATCCACGCACTCTTCCTGTTTCACGGCTCATTATCCTCATAGTGGATAGTGAATATATCCTCCAGCAATTGACCTCCGTGCGACCGGTTCTACCAGATGTCGTCCGATACACTGTGAAATTTATGACGAACCTTCTGACCAGAACGAAAAACAGGGCATGGGTGCAATAGGTGGTGGCGCTCTCCCGCAAAGTAGAACTAGGAGATTTTGCTACCGCAGCAGATATGTAGTTGTTCTTGGCATGATTGCCGCAGCACGGGAAAGTAGTACCGGTGATGTAGGAAATATTCCTACGTAAGTGGCTTGCTACTATTTATAGACTAAAGCGAAGGGTGACATATGACGACGACTTCCTATGCACAGGACGTATTTGTTATCGCGCATCATACACCTGGTTCAGGTACGGTTTTTGTAGTTGTGTGGGATTGATCAACACAGGTTAGTCATTGGCGTGATCAATATATACGGTTCAAGATGGAGCTATAGACCTAATGAGTACCACAGACGAGACTCGGGCACCTCTAGATACATTCAACCTGAAGGAAATCAATAGGATCATGAAAAGTGTGCTAGAGTGTGCAATTCAATTGAAGGACGCGCTAGTACGAGTTGGAAACGAATAGATCGCCCATCAAGGGAACGAGTTAAATGAAAGGATGGCTGATTCTTTACGGAAGTGTTACCGTTGGACTTCTCATGCACTGTGATATATAGAGAAGTGTCGCAGAAGCTCCCATGGTCCTTGTGCGGATGACAGGGCAGGCACAGGAAACAATTGTATCTCAAGCACGATAATCATAAAATTAACTATCTACGTTATCTAGAACAGAAAGTCCAAGTCCAATTGATGTAGAATATACACAATACATATACGAGAAGAACATACTAAGGTATGTAGAGAAAGCAGATGCAAAAGCGACGACAGCAATAGAAAACAATGATAACAAATTAGGCTACGATGGGAAGAGGGAAATTGCGTGATGTCGGAGTGAGTGGTGAGTAAGATATCTGGAGTTGGAGGGCTAGTAAGTGATGGCTTGAGAGAGAAGAGAAGGAAGGAAAACGAACGGACTTGGTTCCCATCCCGTTACTTGAAAGGGCAGCCCGGTGCATGGGCGCCCCTCCACCCGCAATGACAGCATTGAGGCTCGCTCACTGTGCGAGCCATGAGCATTGACGCGATCGACGATGGCGACTTCGAGACAGGACTGGATAATTGCTGACATGATTCGTAGCAAACCGGGATGGAGGACGACGATAAAGTGCACATGGTAACTTGTAAAGTGCAAAGATGAGACTAATATGCTGGTTTAGATACGAAGGAGGACTCGACTGAGCAGACCATTAGAAAATTTTCTGCCTTTTATCTGGTCCCGAGGTTGGCGTCCAGGTTTAGTAGTCAGGGAAATATATTACGTTGCACCTGACAGAATATATCCGGTATGGAGAAAACAAATCCAAGATCTGCTGATGCATTAACGAGTTGATAAGCAGGAGATATAGGCGGTTTTAACTAGATAGGGAAGGGCTTGTCAACCAGTTCAATTCACCTTGAGCTAGAACGAGACACGAGACTTGGATAGCGTGAAATAATATGGTATGAGAGATATATACCCTCGTCCTTCAATGCTGGAATAACAACATTTTCAACCAATTCTACCGAAAAATATATCTCGATAATTCTAGGATGAGATCCTGAATTGAAATAAGTGGAAAACCAAAGTGAGATATCAAGACCGTACGCGGTCCCATGTACCTAGAAGTGTCACATATCGAACGTTACGTCTTGGGACTTTTTCAGGTGGGGCTGGCATGCATGTGGCGTTAACATTGCTAGCAGTCAGTCGATAATTTGCGCAAGGCGAAACATACCCTTTAGAAAAGGAAGAGAAAAATCACGCAAGCGACGGTAATAGAAGAAAAGAAAGAAAAAAACAGCGGTGGCGACGGACTGGTTGGCGAATTTTCTTGTTACGTAAATTCACGTGATATAAATTCTGCGCACCGCCACATCGACGAGACCTTGTGCTAACTGTTTTCCTACGTTATGTCCGACACTCATGAATCAGATTGCAGCTCAAATACAGGAAACCCTGGAATACTGATGACCTTGCCATTGTCTTGCAGTCATTTATTAAATGATCAGGGAAAACGTACGAAACAAACTTGCACATCAGAAGAAGAATACGAACTGTTAGCGATGGCGATGCCAACCGGAAGAAACCCCTTTACAGCTTCTCGGCTATTGAGCTGTCAAATGTCAGTCTCAATGAATATGCATTATGTTTGATGTGCTGTATGTTTATGATACGTGTTTCATAGTCATAGCTCGGGCCAGGATAGTCTCTTAGAGTCTCTCGCACCATGGACTTCAAACGGACGTTCATAAGTAACCACTGGAGTTGAAAATAATTTAAAATAAACTATAAGGTTACCCAGAGTGTCGAAATACTAAAGTAAGTCGCCCTACCTGAGTTTCTCTAGTCACGATGTTCTTTATCCACATCGCACAGAACGGTACCCGATACCTCGGTGAGTCATCACTTGTACAAACGCTTTCCCAACCGAGGTTTTCCTGAAACTCGCCAAATAGATATTTCTGAATTCCTCGCCGGAGGCCGGAAGCCCTGGGTGATTATCCGTTATGATATGTATTCGTGCTCTACTCACCTATCGTCGCGGAAGCGTTCTTGGAAATCGTAATCACCAAGTAAGCAGAACAGCCATGAAGGATTTTATGTTGAAATTTGTCGTAGCTACATTGGTACGTTTCGCGTAACACTTATATGCAGGGAAAATCCTATATAATCGTTTTACCTTAGAGAATCACAGATAAACATCTGTATCAAAGGAGGAGCGGTCCGAGTTGAAGGATGCTGCAACGTTCTTCACCAACGTGTAACAAGATTCTTCTGGGCCGGGATCATACTTTCATGACGCATGGCATCCTCCTCGCTGAGAACCAATGAAACCGGAATGATTGGGTGTGGTAACTTTTTCCTAGGAGTGGAGAGCTCTGCTTCTTTGTCATTCACAAATACCTAGTCAAGTCTAGTGCGGAGATTTTGTTTCTCCTCTAGTCGCTAAAATCACAATTCGGAATTCACTGACGCCGCCAAGCTTTCTCTGCAACCGACATACGCAAAAAGAGCCAGAGTCCGACATCACGCGTACTCTCTATTTCCCCCACATGCTAGCTTCGACCAACTCGTGTTCGATATTTGCACTAATCTTGTACTCCTCGGTGCATACGCGATCCCGGATGGTTAAGTAACGCGCATAAATCATGCTTCTTTGGTGTGGCGTAACGTACCTTTCTTTATTATGTTCACCTTTTGGAGAATACCATGCAAATCCCTGGTTTTGTGCACAGTCAGTCCTTCGACTTCTTTTGTCTGGACTCTCGCCGATACCATGGTATCAGTTTCCGAGTCAAACCAAACTGACATTCCCCTGGTCCCTAACCCAACAGCAGCCCAGGCTATTTTGAATCTCGTTCTTCTGTCAGTGTTCTCGCAACTGGCTGTTTGTTCACACGTGTCAAGCTTCTAGAGCAGAAAACAAAGGTCCGGAAACGGGTTTAACGGAAATCGGAAAGGAACATGCGTAGCACTTGGGTTGAGAGAAAATAAAAATGGCAATTCACCGATCGGCGGCATTAGGAAAGGGTCACTTGTAGTCTAAATAGAGGCTGTTATTGAACCAACACCGCCCCATTATATGCAGGAAACTTCCGTGCCTCTCCTTTGAATTGCAAGTTGGAATTCATACTCCGTGAACGTATTGAGTCGAAAAGAAAGATCTATGTGGATCTTCGAGTGGGATTGGAGGCGGAGATTGAGCGGGGCCCGTGTGAAGGGGTAAGCAATTGAAAGAGGGAAAGATATACGGGCCTTTTCTCCGTGACCACTGACATAGAAGCCTCGCCTAGGAGAAATTTTTGCTACTGGCCTATTGAATAGATGAAGATTCCGAGATCTCGGGAGGAGGTGGCGAATATTCGAGGGAGACTAGCATGTCCAGATCAGAAGGTTCGGACCAACGACGCTCGGGGTATCAGAATGACATTCGGAAGAGGGATACGCCTACTGTCACCTACATTTCGGCATTGAGGGAATATTAGATAAACTGATCGATCTAGACTTCGAAGCGTCTTGACTCTGACTTTTTCTGACAACGCTGAGATCCCATAAAAAATGATAGTGCTGATGACGGAACATTTGGAAGTTAGGCCTAGTGTTGTCGAGGCGAGCTTCAACTATGATCAGGGTCAAGAGTAGTGGGACCAATCAACGTGAAAACGAGGTATTGTTCGCATAGAGTTCGTACTTAGGTAACTCCGTATCCATAGAGAGATATAGTTAGTCGACGGGTTTTAAATGACCCCCCGAGTCCTGATTTCTGGACCAGACGAGACCGATTTATTGAGGTCTATTACTCAAAATCCGTGCGCCAAGACGTTGTGGCATGTCCTGAATACGTCATTAAAAGGGGATCATAATTTCTAAATGAAAGACTCGCCGTTAACTTTTTTTCTGCTTCTCGTCTGTCAAGAACAATATTATCTAAACACGTATCAATAGGAGAAAAAACGTTAGTAAAGCAGCGAGTACCAGTTTCATATCCTTCTTGGTGTCTCTCCCAATAAGCGTCGTTATTAGGCTCTTAATATATCCTTGCCCGCTGACTATGAACGAGGATTTAGAGTTGTTGCTATTGGTATCGAATGTTGGCACGGGGAGAACAAGACACCGTACCTTTGAATAAAGATTGAGACGCGTTCACAACATATGAACAAATCAAAAGGCAAATCCGAAATGAAATGGACGCGTCGTAATCATGTGGTGTTTAGGGCAGGATTTAAACTTGCTAGTTAACAGAAGCGCACTCGGATATGGTGTAACGGCTAACATTACCGTCTTTCATTGTCTTTGCGTGGATTATGCGCGGTAGCTCGGGGTTCGATTCCCCGTATCCGAATTGAACAATAGCGAGCGTTTTGATATGAATTTTTACACTTGGACGGCACCCGGGTTTGTCACTGACTATATACTAACAATTGTCGCATGTCTGTAGGGCATTCCTTACATCCTTGTGGGTTCATAATGTTCTGTAGAAGACCTTTGTGCGGGCGCGTAGAATACTTTCATCTTGAGAAGAATTTTTATCCTTATATGCTCATGTGTCTCTTGTGTTTTCATTTGAATGTAGATGAAAGTTCAAAAAGGAACACGACTCACTAGGCGAAAGCAATATTCCATCGCTTGGGGAATTCGACATGTCTGATGATTTTGCTTGTGTTCTGTGAGTACGAATGAATGATATTTCCGTCGCGCAGCCCGAGCAGTGAGCCTCATTCAGGTCTTTACTGACACTTTCTCTGGTCCTCTTGATTCCCTCAAAGTGCCCTTGAGAGATTACGGCGATTGTTAGAATGATGAATGACGTGAAAGCATTATTTCTGTGCCTTTCGTCAAGCCCTGTCAGACAAAGAACAATAAATGAGAACGGTAGCCACGTGGACTGCAGGATGGGTGGATGTGCCGAAACCGGCATGAGCGGTGATGGCCGCAGTTTTTGATTGCATTGAACTCGCGCCCTGGTCTTTGACGACGATGACGACGAGCACCAACGATACTCTCCGCCCTTCCACGAACAATCGCTTGCCATCGCTTAATCAGCTTGCTGCTCGCATTAACATCAACGTTCCATCTAGTCAATCGCCCAGCTCATCGTCATCGACAACTACCCCACGACCTCGCCTCGCCGCGTTCGCACTGCGGACTGGCTCGACGACATCAGTCGCTTCATCAGTAACGACGGCAGACTCTGTCGCTGTGAATGCGCCCACGACGAGATCAGCTTCACCATCGACACCCCCAGCCGAAGATTTGGAAGTTGTTAGTGGCGGGGAAGCGCTGACAGCGGAGAAACTGGAGAAGCATAATCAGCTGGAGGGTGAGAAGAAGAATGTGAAGGTTGGGTACAAGAACATTCCGAGTCTAGATGCAATTACTGCTAGGCTCGCCAAGACCCGTGCGCTGAGCATCGATGGCTCAGCTAAGCCACCGGAAGCGGAGATGATAGACGATCCGAAGACGCCAGGCGTACCGATGAAGGCTCCCGAGCACCCGCTGCAGTATCTTTGGTACTTTTTTTATTTTATTTTTACTCTTTACGCCTTTTCCTATTTATCTAAACCGTTTTTAGGACGATCTACCATGACACGAAAACTAAATTCCCTTACGCCCCCGCCTCCAACTCACAGCCCTCCACCGCCACAGATAGTACTTTCTCCCACCCGACAGAATCCAATGACTATGAAGCTGGCCTTACCGTTATTGGCGAGTTCAACACAGTCGAAGACTTTTGCCGGTACTTTAACTGGCTGAAACCGCCCTCCAAGCTCGAGCGCAATTCGAATTACCACCTCTTCAAGTCGGGTATCAAGCCCATGTGGGAAGACGAGGCGAACGCGAACGGAGGCAAGTGGGTATTGACGATGAAGAATAATCCTGGGTTGCTAGATCGGTGCTGGAATTGGCTTGCCATGGCCTTGGTAGGCGAGGAGCTCGAGGAGGGCGACGAGATCTGCGGGGCGGTCGTCAGTCTCAGGAGCAAGGTCGATAGGATCCAGGTCTGGACGAGGAGCAAGGATGATGTAGAGAAGCTCAATAGTATTGGGAGGAAGCTCGTCAAGCTGCTCGACGTCTCGGAGGCTGACGGGATTGGGCTGGAGTTTCAGTATAATACGGATGATAGGCCACAGCCAAACAAGTTTTTGTCGATCCAGGCGATGCCCCAGACGGGTTATCGCAAGTCGGATGCACAGTCGCCCGTTCCGAGTCCAGGCGCTTTTGGAGGTTTTGGGGTTGGGATTGGGGGCGGTAGTGCGTGGAGGGCGTCGAAGAGGTCTTGATTATCCAAAAATTGTAAGGTGTACAATGTAATCCGTTCTTCGGTTCTGCTATTTGATGGCTTTTTCTTGAGGTCGTATTGCGCAAATTCTGCTTGGTATGACATTCATATTTCGCGCCTCTCTATACATGAAATATCTGGAAATGGGAAAAGATATAAACAGTCCTTGTTTCGACAAAACCTCCGCAAGTATCTACTTTCGCACGTGTGGCTCGTGCCTCTGTTTTACCCTCCCCCAATGATGAGCGGTGTGGGGATAAAGTCTGACAAACACCCTCCTGCGACTTCGCCCTGCCTTCAAGAACGACTCCGGTATCCAACTTCCCAGCTCTCCTAGATTCCCTGAAGTCACGTAGATGTTCAGCAGTTCTGTGATATCTGCAACGTCTGTCGGCTGCTTTGCCTTCATATACGACTTTGCCGACTCTCCGTGATCCATCCATGCTTGGAGCTTGAGAAGCAGGAGAGGAATGAAGGGCATGAGAGGGAGGGTTTCGTGGTCGTACACGTGCTGGCGGCGTACGATGCTGTCTGGTGGGACCGGTGGGATGTTCATCACCCCTGGGAAGAGGAGATCGACTTTGCAGCTGCGCCTGTATCCCGGGAGGCGGTACCAGAGGACTTTGTACGTCGCGAAGGGGTCTTTAGCCGCGATGAGGTAGAAACTGGGGTTTGTGGCCACTACGCGGCGCTTGAGTGTTTCTTGGGTGAGGCTGCATCCGAGGACGACCATGTCGATGTCCTGATAACGATTTTCCGCGATCAGATATCTGATTGATCTGGATAATGTGGGGACGTACGTTGGGGGATCGGCTCATTCCATAGCAGGAACATGCGACGCTCCCTACTAGGCAGCATTTGAAGCCCAGGGTAGAGAGGACTTTGATGGTTTCTCGAGTGGTCTCGAGGACTTCATGTAGAAAGAGGACACGGTGCGACATGGTGGTTTTGATCAAGATTCGCGTGGAATTTGTTAGGCTTCGACTCCCGGGATAGAAGGTTCAAATTTCAGACACGATCACGTGTTGATATCGGTTCTCGGAGCTGGGTATAGATGTTCTATCATCAAACTATCGTGTTTAATGAGTCATGGACTAGGAGAGCTGTTGTTCTTTTCCTGGCATTGGATCAGTTTGACATAACCTAACTCTTCATAAGGCTAAGATTCCGAAGCCTTCCTCCTGACCTATCTAATAGACAATTGCTTAAGTCCGTTATATTTGACATCGGGTATTAAAATGTATATCGAATCGATTTGAACATGTTAGACCTTACATATCTGGAACAAATAATACGTTGTGTGTGTCGCTCCAGCATCATAGAATCCTTCGAATTCGTACTTGACGGTAATCAAGCAAGCAGGATTGGTCGGTCGGTCTTATTGTGGCTACTTATTCGTTACTGTAGAACAGTGAGAACTCATGTTTGAGTGCGAGTTTTGCTTCACGACATCATTTAAACGTACTTGAAAGAAATTCAAATTGACAGCGCGTCAAGGAATATCACGTGGTCGAGATCATTGAATTCTCACGTCCTATGCTTGTTTCTTTGCTTACTACCACCACCACCAGTATGGTGACGTTCCTTGCACCGCAAGCAAAGCGGCCCTACCCCTCTCCTACATTCAGCAGCAGCCGTTCTCGCATTGTCAGGGAGCTGGATGCACACTGGTCCAGCAGTAGTAAGCTCTTGCCCTAGAACAGCGACTGGAAACATTCTTTTGCAGATCAAATTTCTCTGCATCTCTCTTAAAGGCCTTTTAAAAAGTTGGAAATCACTGTGTTACCCGACGTTGGCAGCGGCAGCGGCATGGCGGCGGTGAAGGATACTCGGCGCTCGCAGGTCTGTCACCTATGTAAGGATTTGCATCCCTCTTTTACTTTCTCATCACTGACGCGATGTTAGGATTACCGATACTGCTGGCGATAACAAGAGTCCTGCTGGTCGGCAGCAGTGACAAGTTCCACGTCCAAGAACCGCATTTTGATCTGGGTTATGGCCAGGATAGACTGCAACCAGGTCGGCTCAGTTGTTATTGCCGGTATTACTGTACGCTGATACCATTTATAGATGCACCAATACCTGCATGTGCTTGGTCCTCGTTAAATGCTACAATTGGCGGCCGTCTGCAAAGGGCTACACCATATGCAAGGTCTTGTTTTAGCGGTTCGTTCGAAGAGGGTGAATGTACAGGGGTAATAGACAACTACCTTGATCCTGGTACGTTTGCAGTATCTCTTCATCACGGCATACTAAGGCAGTCACAGCTAGGCGATCCGACCACTTTGGCGCATACATCAACGTGGGTCTCGTCTTCCTTATGCGAAACTGCGGGTGCATTTACCTAATCTACAGACGGAATGGGAAACCTGCCAAGCGACTGCGGAGGAATGCGCCTTGAATTGGATGAGTGCGGCAGCAAGGGACGGAGAGTGTAGACAAGGTGCGGTTCCTTCTTACTATGTGCGTTATTCTCCTGCTTGCTATGTCCCTGCTACCTGCTAACAGGAAAATTAGATTGATGTCGGTGATCATACGGATGTTGCAGCTGCTTTCGAGTTCTCGAGACGTACAGGTGTTCCCGTTGTCATCAAGAATACTGGGGTCCGTCAGTTTTACATGTCCGGCGGCTTTATGCTGACTTTCATCAGCATGATTACATCGGTCGGAGCAGTGGACCGGGGACATTGGGCATCTGGGTATATCTTCCAGTCTTATTAGTCTCTGTCGATTAAATGAGCTGATTCGTGTTCGTAGACTCACCACCTAAAACAGGTCAGTCTCTTCTCCTACCCAAGAACATCGATGCTCATTACCACAAGTAGATATCTTACAACAATGCCTTCGTTCCGCAAGGATGTGAAACGACGGCGGCCTCGGTTCCCGCTGTGACTTTTGGGGTACGTTGTTGCTTACCCTCCTTAATCCCACGTACCTCAATATCTACTGTAGAGCGGGGCCCAATTTTCCGATGTATTGGCGTTTGCAAACGAGAACAACCTCACGATACCTGGAGGCTCTGATGCGACAGTCGGTGTTGGAGGAGGATACCTGCAGGTTTG